TGGAGGGAAATCAGTTACCTGATACAAATCCAATTGGGGAGGGCAATATGGTGGAGGGGGAATATTGCTAGACTTGGAGTTAGGAAGACCTTGGTTCCAATCCCACCTTAGACAGAGGAACTATGTGACCCTGGCAAAGTCACCTTGAACCTCAGTTTCCCTCACCTGTAAAGTGCAGATAATCAAGATTGGCAGTGGCAGTGATTTCCTCAAAGAGTTGTGGCAAAGCACCATGGGATGAACATTACATTGGGAGTCATATCCCACTTCTGTCACTTACTCACTTGCATGACCTTGAGCAAGTCACCATCAATTCTCCAAACCTCCATTTCACTCTCTGTAAAATGAAAAGGTTGAATGCAGCAACCTCTGAAGTTCCTTCTAGCCTCAAATCTATGACCCAAAGGCTCCAATGGGCCATTTTGGTGGTGATAATAGCAAATAGGGCAACTAGGTGGCACAATGGATAGAACTCTGGGCCTAAAGTCAGGAAGCTCTAAGTTCAAATTTGGCCTCAGACACTTACTAGCTGTAACACTGGGCAAGTCACTTCACCCTGTCTGCCTCAGTTTCCTCATCTGTCAAATGAGCTGAAGAAAGAAATGGCAAACCACTCAAGTTTCTTTGCCAAAGAAAACCCCAAATGGAGTCACAAAGAGTTGGACATGATTGAACAATAACAGTATGGTGGTAGTGGATGAAGCACTGAGCTTAGAGCTAGGAGGGCCTCACTTTTGAATATTTCCTTAAATGTAATACCAATGCGACTATAGAAAGCCTTTCAATGTCTCAGCCTCAGTTATCTGTAAAATGGGAATAACAAGATCATCTGCCTCACTAGGTTGTTGTTGAAGAATTATACAATATACGGAAAGCACTTTGCAAGCTTTAGATTGCTGTTTTAGGTATTACAATTGCTTTAGGTATTGTTATTATTAACAGTGCTTTCCAAACTTTGAAACCATATATATGTATATGGATATGTACATATATATGTCAGTTTTTACCAATAAATGAGATCATTTTAGATCACCTATGCAACTTTATAAACTGCTTTTTGATAGGGATAAAATATTGTTCCTCAGGAGTAGCTTTATCCCTAAAGTATTTTTGCATTCTCTAACAGCAGTGATCATCCCTAATAGTGTAATAGGAAGAGCTATGGCATCAGAGGACATGGGTTTGAATCCCAGCTCTGCCTTTCGTTTTCTTTGACCCTGGAAAAGTCATTTTTTTTTTTACTGAGACTCAGTTTCTTCATCTGCAAAAGGAGAAAGTTGTACTCGATATTTTCTGAAAATCCTTCCAAATCTAAACCCTTTGATCCACAATTGGAGGAAGGCGTCATTAATTCAGACTCCTTTGATGAACAATTAGTAGTGAATGCAGACTTGGTATACTGGTAGATCAGACAGACATGGAATGTTTGTCAGGTCTCTGGCCATTGGCATCGGCACGCAATTAAATAAAATTCGTAAGTGGTGACAGGAACAAAGAAGGAGGAGCCAGGCTCTATGGCTTAGAGAATTCATTCATTCATTCAGCAATGATTTATTGAATGCCCACTCTGTGCAATAGTAAATAGGAAATAATAGATACAGAATAATATATCTTTGCCCATGTGGAGTTTTCGATCTAACAAGAGTTGTGGCACGTGCATAAATATGTAAGTGGTTATAAAATAAGTCCTGTACCGATGTTCCCTTCCAATGCTTCATCATAATGGGGAGGTCAACCTGGATTTTCAAAAGTGCTGCCAAGTGAAGGCCAAGACCTGCTAGGTGCTAAACAAAAAAAAAAGAAAAAAAAATCAAGGCTTCCAGAATGGGTTTGTTGATGATCCAAAGATCAGCCTAACTAAGTTCAGAGAGGTTCATTGCCTCAAGTCCTCAAAATGTTGAGTTTTTTGGCTATAGCTACTCTTGATGACTCTCTCCCAAGGCAGAGGGGCTGTGAGCAATGTCAATGGAGGGAGAGTCCACAACTGACTACCCAAGGAGACTAGCAGAGCCCAAGTATCCAACAGTTACAATGCAGAACAGAGCAGAATGAGGTAAAAGAGGAATGGGGTGCTAAGTGAGCCTGAGAAAGAAAAGCTCAGTTCCCTCTGCCTTAGCACACCGCTGGGCACATAGTGGGTGCTTAATCAATGTTTATTGATTGATTGATTGATTTGAGTGGGTGGAGGCTAGAACCAGAGAAGTCTTTGCAGAGAAGGTGACAGAATTAAAGTTGGTTTGTTAAGGACTGGTAGGATTTCCACAGACAAAGATGAGTGGAGAGGAGGTGTGTATTCTGGGTATAATGGAATGGTGCAACCGAAAACTAGGCATACTTCAATGAATAATTAGCTCGTGGTAGGTAGGGGTGGGAAGTACTGGTTTTGGGGAGGCAATCCCATCAAAGGAAAAAAGTTGCATAGCCTGTGTTTTGTGTCTTCCTATTTCTCCTTTCAGTGTCCCCCAAACCCCTCTTGGCTCTCCTCCTTTCTCCCAGGGTTGTTGTGGTGAAAATGTTTTGTTTAAAAAAAAAGAAAGAAATGTTACCTGTTACTATTATTTACTCATAAAAGCTTGTGCTTGGGGCATGTATGTGTACATTATCTATGTAAAAATAAGTACAAATAATAATGATGTAATTAATTAATAATAATAAATAACCATTGCTAATATTTTTATTACATTCTATGGTTTGCGAAGAATTTTTCGTGTCTTGTATCATTTTGTCCACATAACAGCCCAAGGTTGTTGAGGGAGGTGCTCTTAACAATGCCATTTTACAAATGAGTAAAAATGGTCTTCTTGGAATGAGCATATATAACTGTTTCCAATCATCACAACCATTTAAACTTTTAGACATAGATAATGTTCTAATTACAAATTCAATGGATAAATATATATATATATATATATTTTCATTGAAGTATGTCTCAAATATACTACCACCAGACTTTGAAGTAATACAGTATTATCTAATTCAGGCTATTCACTCATTCTGCTAGCCCTCCCTCTCAAGGTTGCTGAGGAGGAAGACCATCGGACTATGAATCAGGAGACAAAAATTCGTCTGATCATTTGGCATTTAAGTACCTATTATGTGCAAGGCATTATGCTGGGCATTGGGGTCACAAAGATTTTTTTTAAAAAAAGCATTGTCCTCGGCTTTAAGAGTTTTACAATTTAATAAATTCTAATCCTGGCTCTGACCTCTCAGTTGTACCCATGAGAAAGTCACTTTAACTCTCTGGACCTCAGTTTCTACTCCTGTAAAATAAAGCATAGGACTAGATGACCTTTAAGGTGCCTTCTGGCTATAACATATACTATGTTCTGAGGTCCCTCCCAGCTCTACAGATGGGACTCACTGTATTTGGGTTGGGTTGGTTGTGTCTCTGTGACTCATTTATTCCAAAGCAGGATGTCTTTGTTGTATTTATTATCATGGTTAGGTTAAGCTACCACCTGTTTCCCAAGGAAAGAGAGAGAGAGAGAGGGAGAGAGACAGAGAGAGACAGAGAGAGAGAGAGAGAGAGAGAGAGAGTGCCCCTTTCCCAAATGGTAGCTCTGTGTTCTTAAGAGCCCTGTTGGGAGAGAAAGCTCTATTGGGACATGTGGAACATGTGGGACATGTGACCCACATTGCCAATTTTACATAGCAGGGACCAGAAAAGCATCCTTCCCGAAGTCACAGAAGATGTTATTACAAAGCTGGAAATTGACATTTTCTCTCTTAACTCCCAGTCTTATATTCCCTCCATGGAACAGTACTGACTTTTTCCTTTTACTGGAGAATTCTGGAGGAAGACTTTATTTAAAAAATTGTATTACAAAAACAAGTATGACTAAGCCCTCAGGACCTAATTCAGGGCTAGCAGAACAAGTGAAAACATCTAATGAATCTATGGCCCTTTTAATAGCCCAATAACTTAGAGGCAGCTAGATGGGACAGCACAGAGAGCTGGACTGGGAATAAGGAAGGCCTGAGCTTGAATCCTGTCCCAGACACTTATGAGCTGTGTGGCCCTGCAAAAGTCGTTTAATCATTCTGCTTCAGTTTCTTCATCTGTAAAATGGGAGGTGGTAGTATCAACTACCACCCAGGGTTATTATGAGGATCAGATGATAGATAGATAAAGAGAGAGACAGAGATAGAGCTATACACACACATATAATACATACTCATATACATATATACATACACATCTATATCAACATATCCATAGATCTATATACACACATCTATATACATACATATCTATACCTATACGTATCTATATACACCCACACCCACATACATACGCACATAGCATTTTACATATACAGGTGTATATATAATTATATGTGTAAAATGCTATGCTTAATATATGCATACACACTTATATGCATTGTATTTTACATATATACACACATACATGTAAAATGCTATGCTTAATATGTATGTATGCACATATGTGCACAAAATTTTATCTATATATGTGTGTATATATATATATATATGTAAAATGCTATGCAAGCCATAAAGTATTATGTAAATACTTACTATTAGTAATAGTAGTAGTAGGAAGACCTGAATTTGAATTCAGTAACTAGCTTTGAGACCCTGAGCAAGTCACTTCATCTCAATCTTCTTTGGTTTCCTCATTTGTAAAATGAGGACAATAATAGCACCTATGTCATAGGGTTGTTGTGAAGATAAAAATCAGATATTTGTAAGGTGCTTTGCACACCTTAAAGCACTATGTAAATGCTAGCTATTGCTGTGGTATAGTAGTAGTAGTAGTAGTAATAGTAGTGGTGGTGGTGGTGGTGGTGGTAGTCGTGGTGGTAGTAGTAGTAGTAGTAGTAGTAGTAGTAGTAGTAGTAGTAGTATCCAGAAGATCTGACCATATGGGTAAAGCCATTTGTCTTTAATGGGACAGGTATACTGGGGCCCCATCTGAGGAGCTAAAACCCATGATGTACTTTTCCAATATTTTTTCCTTTGTCTTTTCTGTTCTGTAGGTATTCTCCCCTGGGTATCGCCTGCCTCATTTGTGGGAAAATCATTGCCATCAAGGACTTGGAAGTGGTCGCCAGGCAACTGGGGATGTACATGGTCACCGTGATTGTGGGTCTCATCATCCACGGAGGCATCTTCCTCCCTTTGCTTTATTTCGTGGTGACCAGGAAAAACCCTTTCTCCTTTTTTGCTGGCATTTTTCAGGCCTGGATCACAGCCCTGGGCACAGCTTCCAGGTAGAGGATGCAAAAAGTCATTTCTCTTTCTCTCTCCATCCTTTTCCCTGACCCCCATGTCACTGGCTTCTCTTGTCTCTTGAATCTTTTGTCAGAAGGACCAATCAGAGCTCTTATTAGAGAAGAATAGCTTTGTAAAAAGGAGGTGACTGAGCAAGGATTGATTCAAACCAAGAGCCTCTGCCTATTTTAAGGGATCATGTTAATAAATCAAGTATCTGTGAATTCATTTGGTGTAAGAATTCCCTCCCTCAATGATAAAAATCAAAATCACAGAATTTTAAAGTTAGAAAAAATCTTAATGACCATCAAATCCAACCCAAATACAGTGAGTCCCATCCCTAAGGCACAGAGAGTTTAGGTTCCTTATCCATGGTCACACAGTTAGTAAGAGTTAGAGACAAGATTCAAACCCAGGTCTTCCTGACTCCAAATCCAGTACTCTACACTCTGCCTTTGCTGCCTTTCTAGGCATGTTTCTAGGAAATTTTCACTAGAAAGAAATGAATTCTGGCTAATAGTTCTGCTAATATTTTACACAACATAAGACTCTGATATGTCCATTCTCAATTAATACCAATATTTCTAAGTGAAATTGTAACTTTCACTTAGACTACTTGAATTCCCCATATGGCCCTCCCCCCTCCTCTCTCTCTATCTCTCTCTCATTTTATCTCCTTTTTAAAATTTTAAATTGTTTACAAACGGCATTGAACATCAACCAATATACTTGCTTAGTAATAATTTAGATTTAAAATAATAAATTATATATCACCCCCTCTTTTATATATCATCAATAGGAATGACCAATCTTCTCAGTCAATCACTTCGGCTTTAGCTTGGGTTCTTTCTTGACCCAGAGAAAGAGATTCACACTATATAAAGAAATCATAGGTTGTAAGCCATGTCTAATTACATATTTAAAACTCCACCTCATTCTTTTGATTGATTTATTCAGGTAGAAGAAGAAGCATAAGGTATCCTGAAAACTTTTCAGTCATTCCTTCTGAGTCCTTATATGGGGGTTTTTTTTTGTTTGTCCATTCATTTCATTTAGTTTATTATTATTATTTAAAACACAGATTTTATTCCTTTCTTTCAGTTCCAAATTATCTTTCTCCCTCTTTTCTCCATTCCATGAAAAGTCAAGAGAAATAAAACCTACTACAAATTCTCATGTGTAGCCCATTCTCCTCATTTTTCTTTTTCCCTTTGTATTATTTCACAAATCTTTCCATACTGAGTTCTTTTTATTCCTCATGTGGGCTGGTCTTCAATACACTATAAAATTCCATTGAAATGAAGTTCCACAATTTATTTAAGCATTCCCCTGCTGCTGGATTTTTTTTGCTGGTTTCCAGGATTTTGCAATTATGAATAACACCACCATGAAAATCTTTGAACAGACAGTTCTCCTTTGTTGTTTTGGCTAATACTGTCAGAGACGACAATGGAATTATTGGGTCATGTCCCTATTTTTAAAAAAAAAGCCTTCCAGAAGTCTGTCATGAAATGTTATTTTTCTCAACTCTAAAACTCCCCAAATACATCTTCTTGGAAAATGCTCTGTTAGGAATGCCCCATTGCTTTGACTTTCTGAAAAGGGATTCTTCCAAAGCAAGAGAACAGATTCTGAGTATATAAAGAGACAGGGATAACACACTTGGGCATCTTTGAAAGACAAATTAGCTACCTTGCCTCCTGATGGGTTCTCTGAACTCCATACCAACTCCCAATTTGCAGCCAGAATGAATTTCTTATGGCTGTATGTGACATTAACAGAGGAGAAGCTCTTCATTTACCAGACAAACCTGATGTGGAAGAAATCCAAGAGAACTCCTGGAGATCAAAGAAAAGAAATCTTCCAATCATTTCATGGGTTGGATTTTGTATTTTAAATCACCAGGTATTTGCTTTACTAGTGGTTTCCAAAATGGCTATGATAGTAAGCCTGTGACCAATGACTTTTCCTTGCCTGTGTATGTAGGTCTACAGAATTTGAGTTGAGTTAAAATCGCACCTACTATTTATGTGGCCTTGGACAAGTCACTTTACTTCTATGGGCATCTGTTTCCTCCTTTGTAAAATGGGAGTGTTTTATGAGATCACCTCTAGAGTCCATTGACTATCTAAATCTATTATGAAACATCACAAAATAGGACAGGGATAGGGTCAGGTGAAGAAGAAGGGAATCCTGTGGTCTAGAATTATTTATTCCCCAAATCACAGAGAGCTGACCTGAGGGTTTTTGCTTTCCAGATTAGTGTCTAGTTCAAGGTTCACCAGTTTGTCTGCCAGAGAAGACCACATTCAGGTTTTCCTTAACTGACTTGGAAGATAAGCATTCAGTGTCTTCACAAGGCCCAGACAGGAGTAATAACCAGTTAACAAGCCTGATTCTGATGTCATCATAACAAATCCATAGAAGTGAAATCAATGGGATTTGGGATCAGGGATAATAGCAGGTTGTAGGAGAACATGGAAAACTACCCATATGACCTGAATGTCTAGAACCGTGCTGTCAATTCCAAATTAATGGTGGAACATCTTAGGACTTCTTTCCTCTGCTCCTTCTGGGCCTTGGAAACTTCCAATATGCCTTAGTATCTCTAATAATAAAGATTCTAGCTATGCCTAAGAGAGAAAATTAGTGGTTCCAAGGAACTATCTTTTGGTTAATTACTGGTTTGGTTCACAAATCCCAGTCATTTCTTGCCCTTTTCTCTGGCATTACTGTTGGGAACTGTGATGATTCATCATTATTAACTCATCATCATCATCATCATAGTTGTGATTGATGTACCACTTTAAGAGCTGTAAAGCCCTTTACGTAAGTTTTCTCATTAGGTCCTCCAAATAGCCTTGTGAAGGAGGAGAGGTACGATTTTCCAGATGGGGAAATTGAGGCTCAAAGATGTAAGGATTTCTATAGAGTTAGAGTTGTATGGCGGAAAGAGAAGTAGCTTTGGAGTCAGATGACCACCTCTTATGTTTATTATCTCTGTGACCTTGAGTAGGTCAAATCATCTTTTTGGGCCTCAGTTTCCTCTTCTGTAAAAATGAAGGTGTTACCTAGATGGCCCCTGAGGTCCCTTCCAGACCTAGGTCTATGACACTAGTGTATCCTATCTCAGGGCTAAACCTGGAAAGGACCATGGAGGTCCTCTAGTCTAATATCCTCATTTCTACAAAGGGGAAAACCAAGGCCCAGAGTGATGGAGTTTCACAGATGGTAAGTGGCAGGGTCAGGATGAGAAGCCAGTTACTTTCTTTCCAAATCATTCACTGTTTCCATTGCAACCATCATTTTTTTTTCTTAAAAATTAGTATTTGGCTACAGTTTCCTTGAGGGAATCTATTGTGTCAGGAATTACATACTGAGCATCAGCCCATTAGTATTTAACCCTCACAGTCACAGGGGAAAGGACCAAGCCCTCAGACAGTCGGTTCAGTGTCTTTTGTGTCTCAGCAGCTTGTATACCGCATCAGGAAATCAAGTCTGCTTGACTGCTTTTTCTCAATGGGCACATACATGCAAGTAGGCTGCTTTGCAGGAAGGGTGCCAGAAGAAGGGAGGCCCAGAAACAACCTCCTAAAATTGGAGTTGTCAAAAGTAGTTAGGAGAGAGAATACCCAACAACATGAAGACATCAGCAACGTGGCCACCCTGCTATTGGGTCATTTGGATTATGATCTGTTTCCTTGACTTGCAGCAAGAACTGGAATGATAAAGAGCTTCAGCTCTTCCATATATAGGAACTAGACATGTTTTACCCTGGAGAAGAGAAAATAAGAGAAACAGGATAGCTGACTTCAATTATGAGAAGGGCTGTCTAGTAGATGAAGGCTTGGGCTCACTCACTTAGGTCCCACCGGGCTCAGAACCAAGAGTAATCAATGGAAATGGCAAAGAAATAAATTTAGACTGGACGTCAGGGAAAAAAGTCTGCCTACTCATCGGAGTTCTTCAAAAGTGAAATGGGCTTCCTCAGGAGGCTGGGATTCATCAGTGAAGGTCTTCAGGCCAAAGCTGGAAGCCTATTTGTTGGATATGCTATAGCATAGCTCCTCAGTCAGATATGAGTACAAATAAATGGCCTCTGAGGTCCCTTCTTATTCTGAGATTCTGTAAACTCATACAAGCCTTCGATGCAGGAAAGAGCTAAAGGCATCCAAATGCTATTTGGAACGATTTTTCTTTTGTTTCTTCTCTCAATTAAATTCACCTACTACAAAGATGAGAGCTCTTGCTTTCTTACTCTTTCATTTTCCAAAGTCTATTGGATCATTGCGTGGCCCTTGGGTGATACTATGTATCAGTGAGTGAAGTAATGAGAATTAATGGACACCAATGGGCCCCTGAGTGGCCTCAGGCTTATATTTTTCCAGGGTCTCACTGCTGTGAGGCCTTCTCTGAATAATCGTTCTGCATGATTGCATTTAGCTCTTATCTGATGGGTTGTGTGTGTCTATATGTGTAATGAGAGGGATGCAGAAATAAAAGATGATATCTCATTAAAATACCAAGAGGCAGGTAGAAGAAAATTATCTCTATCCTAATTAGTCCAGGCCTTAAAGACAAGGCTTCCTGTTATGAGATAGCTCTAAATGGAGCTTTATAACATCTAAAGCACAGATAGATAGGGATAGAATGACTCCTCAGACCCTTCTCTGGGCATGAGAAGTCGGGAAAGTGGTAAGTACTCCTAGCCGGCTCGGCAGATGCGTTAAGACCAGCTAGTATGTTATTCCAGAATCATAGATGTGGAACAGGAGGGACTCGGAGACAATTTAGCCCTGCCCTCTCATTTTACAGATAAAGGGACTGTAAACTAGACAAGTCATGTGACTTGCCCACATCTTGGGCATAGGCTATAAAATTTCAACCCAAGCCCATGAACTCCAAAGCTAATCCTTTCACCACTGCCTTCCTCAGAACCATCCTTCACCTTCCCCAAGGATGCAGTGAGTATTTCTAGAATCTCGGCATAGGAAAGGATCACTGACTCCAACCCACACTTAGACAAGATTCTCTTACAGTACATTCAGCACATGATCATCCAGCATTTGTCTGAAGACTTCCAAGGTGAGCCACTCACTTTGGCAAAAAGGCAGCCTTTTCCACTTTTGACCGGTTCTAATTCTTAAATTTATCCAGACAGAATCACTGGAGTTCAGAATTGAAAGGAACCTCAGAGGCCTTTCTAGCCAGCCCATTTCCCGCAAGGGAATGCGCACTTCAGTGTATCAGAGAAGTGGTCATCCAGCCTAGATCTGAAGACCTAGTAAAAAGGAGCCCATCACCTCTGGAGACATCCTCCTTGCGAACAGCTGTAATCATTAGGAATTTTGTCATCAAGCCCAAATCTGCCTCTGAGGCCAAGCAGGAGAAGTCTGATCCTTGTTTGTCCTCTCTCATCTTTGCGATGGCCTACATCCAAATACTCTGAATGTTGGAAGAGAAAAATATACTACCCAAAAAGACAGTACAGCGTAGCGGAGAAAACATTGGACCAATGAGGAGGGGCTGAGTTCTAATCCCAGCTCTTCCTTTTGGGACAATTTCATTTCACATCTCTGTGCCTCAGATTACTAAATTGTAAAATGAGAGGCCTGGACTAGGAGACCTCTAAGATACATGTCCTATTTCTCAATCTATGACCTAAGGTCATAACCTCTTTGAGCCTCAGTTTCCCTATCCATAAAAAAGTAACGTATATGTTAGACCTCATAGGTCCCTGTAGGGTTCGCATATATATGAAGTATATTTAGCACCACATAAATGTCAATTATTATTTTTCACTTGATAACAGAGAACCAAGTTGGCATAATAAAGAGCTGTCCTTAAGGGCAAATCAAGCACCTCTGAAACACATAGGTTGTGTGACTGTCAGTAAGTCACATAAACTCTTGCTGCCCCAGACAACTTTCTCCGACAGAAATTCCTAACCTTTTTGTGTGTGCTGAACTCCTTTGGTGAGACCTATGAAACCATTCTCAGAATAAAGTGTTTAAATGCACAAAAGAAAATACATTAGATTACAAAGAAACAATTATATTGAAATGCAGTTACCAATATACAATATATTTATATTTTAATAAAATTTTAGCAGTTTATATTTATGTTTATATCTTTTATAAATATGTTTACATATTTAATATATGTATATGCAACTATATATAAATACATCATATAAATATAGTTATACATACAATTAAATTGTTAAATATTTTATATTTCTATATTTTATAAATATATTTATATGCACATATAAACATATAAACACAGTATATAAATATATGTGTGCATATAATAAAACATTTTAAATATTTTATATTTATATATTTTTATAAAATATATTTCATATATGCATATATAAATGTGTAAATATAGTATATATCTATACATATAAGTTTTTAATAGATATTTTATATTTAGATATATTTAAGTCCACAGACCCCAGGTTAAAAGCCTCTTAATCTTGAGGTCTCTGAATAACTGTAAGTTATAAATCAAGTGCTTTTCCACATCAACAGGAGTTTTGTTTTGTTTTATTTTTTAATTGAGAGTTCCCTATATATTCTGATGAAATAACAGTCCCTCTGAAGTGACAGAAACAAAAAATATAGAGGTTTTGCCAATCTGTTTTGTCCGCATTTAGGAATTTTTTTTCTTTCTTGGTCATGTATTCTTTGAAATGTCAGCTAAGCCCTAAAAGCAGATAATGAGGGTGTCCTAAGGCAAAGCATGGCCCCAGCCACCTGCACTGTTTTCCATGTAATTTGCACTTGGAGACATTTCCTATGTTATTCTGTGATCTCCATCCATATGGGAATGTTCTTTCTGGCCCTTGGAAACCTTTAGTAACACAGTAAAACATTTGGTAATACAAAGTTTCTATTTAAGGAATTTGTCCAAGAGCCCTCAGGAATCTTCATTTCCCCAAGTGGTTCATGAAACCATAGTCCCAGCTCTGGGAGGAGAGGGTGTGAAGTCATGCCATCTCGTGTATGAGAAGAGAGAAAGTTCACATGCTTCAATGATGGATGACAGGAGAGGCTGAGGAGTTGATCTAAGCCCATTGAAATCAGGAATTGAATCATCTTTCACGGTCCCCCAGAGCATGGCTGCTCTCCCCAGCTCATGTATTCAGCAGCAATTCATATCCTTGTCCAGTGTCCTCAGCATTTCAAGGGCCAGTTATGGGGTTGCCCCCAGGGTCTGGGACTGATATGTTCTGTCTTTGCCATGGAACATACGCAGCCTTTCTACCCCGAAGTCTGGGATCACTAGAAAAATCTTCCTGCCTCCACAGTGCTGTCTAGATCAGATTATCTTCTGACCCAAAAACTCAGTTCAGCCCAATCAAGTCAGGCAAACATTTAATTTTGAAACAAATAGGCTTTAGTTGTGCTTCAAAATGTTACCGTCTGGGATGGCCCAGGTGGGAATGTGGACTCTGGGGAAAATGAAGGCAATGGATCTTGACACATGTCATGAAAATTCAAACCAACCAGAAATAGTTTTCATTTCTGGTAGCTAATATGTTAAAAGTTTAAATTAAATTTTAGGCTTGACTTGCTTAATTTAGCACTTGGTCATCCAAATGACTTGAAGAATGAAAGTAAAAAAGCCAAGATGGAAACAGTGTAGTACAGTGGAGTCAAAGGACCCAGGTTCAAATTCTGACTTTGCCACTAACTACCTGTGTGATCTTGGACAAGTCACTTAACTTCTTTGGGACTTAATTTGCTCAACTATGAAATAAAGGAATCGGATTAGATGCCCTTATTGACTGACCTCTCAGATCCCTGTGATAATTAAAGCTACTGTCTCATCCCATTTTCTTAAAGGGTATTGTAATATGGGTCCTTCTCTTTCTGTGTTTGTCTCTTAGTGCCGGTACGTTGCCTGTCACTTTTCGTTGCCTGGAAGAAAACCTGGGGATTGATAAGCGTGTGACCAGATTTGTTCTCCCAGTTGGAGCAACCATTAACATGGATGGGACAGCGCTATATGAAGCCGTAGCAGCCATCTTTATTGCCCAGATGAATGGGGTGGTCCTGGATGGTGGGCAGATCGTAACCGTGAGGTGAATAGCTTGTTTTTTCTTTTGTATTAGCTCCCTCCTCTGGAGTAATTAACACCTGTAGGGCCCCTTAACAGCTTGAGGCACAAGGAGATTGACCTGGATCACAAACCTACTATCAGAAGTAAACCTAGACTTCAATTCTTCCTGATTCTAAGTAGAACCTTCTAACCACTGTATGGTGCTGACCCTGGGAATCCAATCCCAAAGATGGAAGGAAAAGAAGGTACCTGTCCTCAGAGAGCTTTCTTCCTTTCTCTATTCTGGATAGATAGATAGACAGATAGATAGATGGACAGACAGACAGATAGATAGACAGACAGACAGATAGATAGACAGATAGACAGACAGACAGACTGGTATATTAGTAAATATATGAATAGAAGTTTCTACTTCCTTTCTATAGCATTATAAAAAGTGTGCATTTTCATTTTTACCTAGAATCGACAGTTTATTCATGTTAAAATTAAGTCAATTATATTTATCACAAAAGCTATAGGACACGTGTCCAGGATCAAAGGACCAGAGCTTTAGATTGTGAATCATTAACGTGTACATTCCTTGAGGGCAAAGACTGTGCTTTTTCCTTCCTGCGTATTGACAGTGCTTTACACATCATCTGACAGGCACTTCATTAATGCTTGTTGACTGACTGACTTTACTGTTGAAAGAGACATTAGCAATCCAGTTCCATCAGCTGACAGATGAGAAGTGATTTAGTGAAGTGATTAACCCAAAGACACACAGGTAGAAAGTCACAGAACTCGGAATCAAAGCCAGCTGCTTTGATTCCAACTGAGTGTTCTTTCCAATATGCTACTGGTTCCCATTTGATGATTCATGAGCCTCATTTGCAATGATGGTCCAAGGGGTTCATGCTAAGATGTTAATGGTAAGTAATTGCTTATGAATATTATCAGTAGTATGTTAAATTGAGCAGCTAGGTGGCACAGTGGATAGAGTGCTGAATCTAGAGTCAGGAAGACTGTCTTCTTGAGTTCAAATCTGGTCTCAGACACTTGCTAGCTGTGGGCCCTGGGTAAATCACTTAACACTGTTTGCCTCAGTTTCCTCGTCTCTAAAATGAGCTGCAGAAGGAAATGACAAACCACTCCAGTATCTTTGCTGAGAAAACCCAAATAAAATCATGAAGAGTTGAACACAACTGAAATGAGTGAACGACAATAACAAAATGTTAAATTACCCTGGGAGTTCACAACACATTTTTTGTTGTTGCTATTTAAAGTGGTTGTTAAAACAAAAAGAAATGGGAATCACTAGACTATGCCATGCTACTTCTCAGATGTATCTGATAAGGTCATTTAAAATGTTATTCTCTTTAAACTATCCAGCAATACTTCTGACTTTCATTCTAGATGTTAATTCATTGAAGATTTTCTAAACATTTTCTTATGCTGTAAGATCCAGGGTCATCTGTAAAATTCAAGAGGTTGAAAGAGGTGGCCCCTTAAATTTAAGGGTGTATGAGTGAGGAAAACAGTAGCTAAACATATGGCATTCACTCCACAGGATAAGCTGACTCAGTATAGCCTGTGAATTCAAACACCCAGACATTTTTAAGAACTAACGTCTTCATGTGTCTAAAGAGCATCGTTAGCCATGTTCTCATTCTGTTCCTATTTTCTTCTTATAAATAGAAATGAGCAGCTGGGGCAGGGCATTATCCTGGGGTTGAAAGAATGAGCTGGGCTCCTCTGGTGGATATCTGGTCACTGGCCTCTCTCAGCCCATTGGTCAAACCCCAGGAAGTATCAGATGCCTTGACTTTAATCTTTCTTTCATCTGGCTCTGATTTCCCTCACAGGACTGATGAGTCTCCTCCGTGGCAGGTCTTTCCCGGATTTGAGGGGTAGTTTTTTAAGAGGGTCTTCTTTGAGGAAGAGAGTCCATCTGGTTAGCTTTCTCCCCAGATCCCTTGGGTCTCATAAGCTGGCCGCAATTGCTAGACAGTCATAAAACCCCACAGTCCCAAGATGCTGAAGGGTGGAAATCATAAAGCCATTACCAAGATGGTGATAATCCTTTCCCTTATTTCAGAAAGCTTTATGCCAATTGAATGAGTAATACAATGGCCAAGGCTTCAATTTATTTCAAGATTAATCTAGTTGCTTAGCACGAGAAATAGACCAGATTCTCATGTAACTAGCACTGGTATATTTCATCTTTAGGAGATGACAGATATTCTACCACATTATCACTGTCACCATCATCATTCCATGGCTCCTATTGAACACCCTCTGAGTGTGAGAGATATTCATGGACTCCTACAGCTGGAAAGGACCTAAGAGATTATCTAGTCACTTCCTTTTACCTGATCCCATCACTCATTTTGCCCATGAGAAAACTGAAGCTTGGGAGGTTAAGTGTCTTACTTAGGGTCATATAGCTATCAAATGCCAGAACAAAAATGTGAAACAATGGCATAGGAAAGGTAGTGGTGAAACGAAATTCTGCATTTTTGTAAATATTATAAAACAATATTTCAGACTGTATAGGGAGCAGAAGTTCACAGTCACCCCAAATCCAAACAATTCATTTGGCCTCTCCAGCTTTCTATGCCTGATCTGTCTTGGCTCTCCCATTTTTCTGCAAAGTTGTTTCTCTCCTTACTGACTTAAGTCAAGTCACCAAGCTTTACTCAAGCTCTTCCTATGTTCTAGACTCTGTGCTAAGCACTAACAAAAAAAAGAAAAGGGAAACCACGGTCCCTGACCTCGAGAGGCTCACAATCAAATGCCAACAACTATGTACAAATAAGACACACCCAGGATAACCTAGAGGGAATCTCAAAGGGAAGGCACTGGCATTTTAGGGAAATAAACAGAAGGCCAATGTGGGATTCCAAAGGTCTTGTAGTCCGGGCTCTGATGATTACCATGTGACTGTGGACAAGTCACTTTATGTCTCTGAGCTTCATTTTCCTCACCTGTAAAATGGAGATAATAATATTTGCATTATCTACCTCAGGGCTAACCAAAGAAAATGGCTTCATAGACCCTGAAGTACAAAATAAATGTTATCATTGTTATTATTTATCAAATATTCATCCCATTGCATTAGAATCATACATCAACTATAACCTAAAGCTCCAAAAAAGTGAATAAGTTCCAAGACTTTTCACTTCATCATAGTTTTAAAATATATAAAGATATATATGTATATACGTACATGTATGTGTGTAAATATATATACATGCACACAAATCTATCTATACATACACACACACACTATATATATATATATATATTGAGAGAGAGAGAGAGAGAAAATGGAGAGGAGAGAAAAGACAGAGAGAGACACAGGGGAGGGAGAGAGGTAGGGGAGAGAGAGACAGAAAGACAGAGAGAAAGAGACAGAGAAGCATAGTGTAATGGAAAGAATGTTGGACACAGTATCAGAGGAATCAGAATCGGATTCAATCATACCACCTATGTGACCTTGGACAAGTCATGTTTCACCTCTCTTGGTCTCAGTTTCAGCATCTATAAAATAAAGGGGTTGGACTAAATGACATTTTCACTTCTAACCCTAGATCTATAATCCTGATCACAAATCTCTCTGAGTCTCAGTTTCCTCATATGTAAAATGAGGAAGTTGTACTAGAAAACTTCTGAGAACCCTTCCAGCTCGAGATAATTTTGAGAAAATTAAACATATCAAAGTAATACTTCTGGTGACTATTATAAAACCCATGTATCCTCACTCACTCAAAGAAATCAAGTGAGATATTTGTAAAGCACTTAGCACAGTGCCTGTCCCATAGTCAGTGCTTAATAAATACTTGCCCCAGCTCCCCTCTACATAAATTCTTTCTCACTGTATGACATCTTGGAAATGTAAAAGAAAAAAAAACAGATAGAAAACATTATGGTGCCACAGACATTCACATTGGAAACCTTTGACACAGGCCTAAAATCCAACTTCTGAATCACATCACCTTTATACCTGCAAGGACAGACAGCTCTGCCCCTACTCAGATTGTAAGACACAAAGCTCCATAGACTTTGTATTCCAATGTATCCCTGAAGAACAATGTTTGAAACTCCTTTGGTCCATTGAACTTCCAATCCTAAAGTGCTCCTTGACTATAATCTATGTTATGGTACCTTGCTCCAAATTCCCACCATTCAAAATTCACTTTGGAAAGGTATAAGGAATATCCACACCAGACAAAGGTATTGATATTGATACCTTGATATTGATACCCTGGGGCAAATCCCCAATTACTCTTCCTAGTTATAGTTCTGATGAATGATGAATTTGAATTCTTGTTTAAATTACATATGATGCATGAACAAAAGAATGTAAGTCTTATTTAATTATAGAAATCACCCTAATATGGCCACTGAAGTTATCAAGGATTAGGTCAATAGCAGAAGTTCTAAATGCTTATTTCTTAAGCAAAATTCTAAAAAGGGCCCTTGCCTCTAGTCCATTTTGATTCGAGGCACCCGCACTTTGTACTCTGCTTAAAGGGGGTGAAGAGATGCTTAGGCCAAGTTGTATGGTCACTATGGATAAAAGGCAAGAAAGTCAGAGAACCTTAATGCTATGAACCAAATAACCAAGAGGAAGGAAACAGGAGCTTCTGGGTTGTGTCTCCATTCAGGTTAGCTTTGCAGGTATTAGCTTTGTATTTCTTACTGGTGGATTTGAGGAGCAATGGGGCATCATGTTGCAGAAAGAGCATTGGACAGAGGTCAGAAGACCCAGTAGGCTCAAGATGTGTCTTGTCCTCAGGCAAATCTCTCCATTTCAGTTTTCTCCTCTGAAAAACTGAGCTAATGATATTTCCACTATCAACCTCATGGGATTATTGTAAGGAGATCACCTTGTAAATTGTGAAGTGCTATGGAAACAGGATTCAATAATAACGGTATCAACAACAACAATAATCGTAATCATAACCCCTTCAGAGTCCAACCAATAACAAGAATATAACATTGATAATAGTGATAAATTATAGATCTCTATGGGGCAGCTAGGTGGTGCCCTGGATATAGCACTGGACCTGGAGTGAGGAAGACCTAAGTTCAAATGTGGCCTCAGCCACTTACTAGCCAGGGGACCCTGGACATGTCACTTCCTCAAGTTGCCTCATTTTCCTCATCTATAAAATGGGCTGGAGAAGGAAATGGCAGACCACTTTAGCATCTCTGCCAAGAAAACCCCAAATGGGGTCACAGAGACTGAAACAACTGAACAACAAGATAGACCTCTATACAAACCATTAGAAGCAGTATTTTCAGGAGTCCTCAATTCTTAGGAGCACCCAGAGGCATGACTAAGGTGGAGTGATGATGCCCAGGATGCCCAATTTTGAGACCACCAATAGCACTTTAAGGCTTTCAGAAGCATAGAAACCTTAGGTTTAACTGATTTTTTTTTTGGTTGATTAAACAGAAATGAGTTCTCATTTAACAAAAATCATTGGTCAAGATGGGAAGCTAGCAGATGTCAGGCTGGGCTAAGCTGTGCCACCATTTATCAGCTTTCTCAGCAGTAATTCTTAGGTGTCCCAGAATCCCTTTTTCCGTCCTATGGGACAGCATCTTACCTCAACTGAGGTCCAACTTTGTGATGCTGGCCATGGGCATAGTTTGTGCTCCTCATCTCTAATGAGATAATCATATTTGTAAATCATTTAGCATGGTGCTTGGCATGGAATAGGTGCTTAGCAAATGCTCGGTCCCTTCCTTGCCTCTCAGGCACAAAAAAAATGCCCAGTCAGAGCTCTGGGAACTTACGCAGTGCTGACAACTGTTCTCCAGGCCTAGCAAGAGTCAGAGAATGGGACAAGGCATGGGTGTGAACACCTAACTCCACCCCCATGATAACTGCCCATTTTGAATGCACAGAATTGATGAGCCCAAGCTTAGAGATCAAGAAGTGGTGTCCTTAAAAGGCCGTTTGCTTCCAAGGCAGAAAATGAGGATAAAGTGACTCATAAGACTGATTAAGCATATGACAAGGGTGAGAGCCAAGACTGCTGGCTTTTGGGAAAGATTCGCTTGCTCAGCTTTCTAATCAGGCCCAGTGAAAAGACAGAGATTTCTGTTTCTCTAGTTTTCAGGCTCTTAAAGGCGGGCTTCAGCAGAGTGAGTCTCACCAAGATGTCTGGATCTGAACCACAAGTCTTTAATCTCCTGTGTCCTCCCCTAAGTGACCATGGAGAACAGAAGTGTCTAGGCCCAGGTGTGGAAGACAGTAAGATTTATAGATACAACATCTAAATTGTGGTCACTCTGAGCATGGTATGCCAAATGCTCCCTGGTAAAATTAAGATTAGGCCGGCTTAGACAACTTAATTGGCCACTGGACTGTCGCAGTAGCCCTAGAATTTCTGAGCTATCCACAGGGGTATCCCCACTTCTCACTTCCTGATAAAGTCAGCTAGAAGTAAATTTTTTTAAAGCATTACTTCCCTGCAAGTGACACGTTGATTAATGGAAGGTAAAGAAGGAAAAAAAAAAAACTCCATCTTTTGTGGCTCCCAGAAACTAGGGAGAATGGCTAGTATCCAGATCTCCCCAAAGAGTGACTGGCCTGCAGCCCCAGTCTTCCTCTCTCCCAGACAGAACCTTCTACAACAGACCTGGTATACCTAGGACATTGCTAATTGGAGGCCAATTATGGGAGATGCTTCAGGAAGAAAGTTCCCCCTTTTAATTCCATATCATTTCTCATCTGCCTCTCTTAGAATAATGGCTTTTCTATTCCAACCAAAGAATGTCGGAAGTGTCTAGAGTGCTGTCTGCAGTCTGCAGACCCGGTCTTCTTCTTGTCAACTCTAACGAGGATGGAGAATCGGCCTTCTGGATCCTTATGTTGATGTTGGCTGTGGAGTCCTTGGGCCTTCATCACATACTCCAGTGGGAAAAAACTATGGGGAGAAGACTTTCTCCTCCTGAATTTTAGAGTTTTGGGGAAGAGCTCAGCAGAACCTAAGGGAACATATTACTTGGGGACGGATTTGAGGCCCCCCCATTTCCTTGGGCTGGGGCAGGATAACAGGACCGTAGCCTTAGAGCTGGAAGGGAGCTCAGAGGTCATTGAGTAAATGACCTTCACTTTACAGAGGAGGAAAGGGAGGCACACAGAAGGGATATTGCTTAGAATTATAGGACCATAGATTTAGAGCTAAAATGGTCCCCCATTTTATAGATAAGGAAACTGAGGCATGGAGAAGGGATGATACTTAAGGTCATAGATTTTAGAGGAGCACCCTTAGAGTAAGAAAGAGCTAGACTTCATAATACACAGAGACTTGGACTTGGAGTCAAAAAAATCTGCGCTACCCTGAACAAGTCATTTAACCTTTGTTTGTCCATTTCCTTTTCTGTGTTTGTCATTCTGTTGTATCCTACTCTTTGTGACCCCATTGAGGGTTTTCTCAGCAGATACTGGAGTAGTTTGCCATTTCCTTCTCCAGCTCATTTTACAGATGAGGAAACTGAGGCCAACAGGGTTAAATGACTTGCCCAGGGTCACACAGCTAGTAAATGTCTGAGACTAGATTTGAACTCAGTGAGATGAGTCTTCTTGACTCTAGCCAGGTGCTCTACCCACTAGGTCACCTAGCGGCCCCTCCTTATCTTTAAAATGGGAATAATAATAGTACCTATCTCCCATGATTGTTGTGAAGATTAAATGATAAAATATACATAAAGTGTTTTGCAAACCTTAAAGGACCATATAAATGCCAGCTCACATTGTGATCATGACTGTCATTGTTATTAGCCATTGGGCACAAGCCCCTCACTTTACAGAGAGGGGATGTGAGAGGACAATAGAATCATAAATTTAGAGACCAAGAAACATCAGAGGGCATGAGACCAACCCCCTCATTTTATAAATGAGGAAACTGAGGCACAAAGAGGGCAAAGTTCACACAGCTAGTAAGTGTGTGAATGAGCTGACAAGTGGGAGTTGAGCTTGGGTCTCTGGAGATATCACATGATACCTTTTAAGCTGGGGGGAGGGGCATTGGAGAAGTGGTGACCATAGGGGGAGAAAGGAATGACCCCAGAGCAGGATGAAGTTAAAGAATGATTTATCTCCCGTGTGCCACATGTTCTCTTTGTTTCTGCAGCCTCACAGCCACCCTGGCCAGTGTTGGAGCCGCCAGCATCCCCAGCGCCGGGCTGGTCACCATGCTTCTCATCCTAACGGCTGTGGGCCTCCCAACACAGGACATCAGCCTACTTGTTGCTGTTGACTGGCTCTTGTAAGTATCTGCAGATCCCATCATTTTAAAGGATTCAAGAAACTCCACCACTAAGCTGCTGAGTTAGGCTGGAGAGACATTTTCTGTTACCCCTTCCTCTGTATTTATTTTGTATTTAAGAATTTATATACGTGTTGAATCCTATACCTGACACATGTAGGTGCTTAGTAAATGCTAGTTGATTGACTAAAGCTCCTGACAGCCCCAAGAGGGGTCATAAGTTCCTCAAGAGAGTTTGTAGGATCATGCATGGACCTAGAACTGGGATGACCCCTTCCAGCTCCATCTAGTACAACTGCTTTGCTCTACAGATAAGGAAACTGAGGCCTAGAGATTGAATAATTTGCATAAGGTCACACAAGTGGTAAGTGTCAGTGAAGATGTCTGAACCCAGGTCCTCTGATTTCAGAGCCAGGGCCCTTTCCATTGGACCATACCACCTCCCTAAGGAGTGCAAGCACAGTGATGGTTTATTTTTTGCCTTTGTATCTCCAATATCTCATATGGTGCTTAGCACATGGTAAGCACTCAATAAATTACTGAATTAAATTGAGTGACATTGAGAAAGTGGTCTCCCCTCTCTGGGCCTCACTATAAAATGAAGTGGCTGGGGTGAGTGACCTCTAAGGGTCCTGAATGAGATAAGGTATGAAAAAGAGCTTTGCAGACCTCAGAGTGCTACAGCAGTTATTATAGTTGCAACATGGTCCCATGCTCTGGCCTTGGCCTCAAAGAGAAGTAGCTAGGTGGATAAAGCGCTAAACCTGGAGGCAAGAAAACCTGAGTTTAAATCTAGCCTCAGATACTTCCTAGCTGCGTGACTCTGGGCAAGTCACTTAACAACCTCAGTGTCCTCATCTGTTTGTTGTCATTATCATTGTTGTTGCTGAGTTGTTTCAGTCCTTCATTTGGGGTTTTCTTGGCAAAGATACTGGAGTGGTTTGCCATTTCCTTCTCCAGTTCATTTTACAGATGAGGAAATTGAGGCAAATAGGGTTAAGTGACTTGCCCAGGGTCACACGGCTAAGTGTCTGAGGCCAGATTTGAACTCAGAAAGATGAGTCTTCATGACTCCAGGCCAGGTGCTCTTTCCATTGCACCACCTAGTTGCCTCTCATGTACATAATAATACCTATTTTCCAGGATTGTTATGGGCATCAAGTGAGACAATATTTGTAAAATTCTTTGCAAACCCTAAAGTGCTATGCATTATGCCATTAGAATTATTGCCTTGTGACTTTGGGCCAGTCAGCTGACTTCCCTGAGACTCATTGCCTCATCTATAAAGTGACGGGGCTGGATAAGATGGTGTCCAAAGGTCCCTTTTAGCTTGGAATTTCTGCTTCTATCTTGACTTATTATTTTGTTTAGCTCTTAATCGTAAGCATCGCCAGGGGATTAGGTCTAAGACACTTGCAAATCCATTCGAAACAACACATGAGTTTCTGAGCTGTCTTTTTTTGTGGGTTTGAACCAGAAGGGAAGGCCCTACAAGGAAAGTTGCCTTAAAGTAAAGAGTGTTGGGAGAGATGCCCTTTTGGGCTTCCCCCCATCCCCAGCATTTTCAGAATCTCAGCAGAAAGTTCTTGTCCTCTGAATAGAAGCCCCTAGAGGTCAGGGATTATTCACTTTGTACACATCACCTAGTGCTATGCCTGGCACAGGTAGGCACATAACAAGTATTCATGGATTGATTACAACATGTAAACCAGGAGATCTTAAACTGGTCTATGGTTAGATCTCGGGGGATCCATGACTTTGAGTGGGGAAAAAAAAAATCTTTATTTCTATTAACCTGTAAGTGGCTGAGTGAGGATTTGAACCCAGGTCCTAGGACTCCAAATCCACTGATCTTTCCACTGTATCCCCCCATGGTGGCAGGATCTGTGATTATTAACTAACAAATTTGAGTTGAAACGTGTAGGGGAAATGCTTTTTCATCTGTTTCTGAAATTATGATGGAGAAATGGGAAGATAGATAGAAAAATGTGGCTGATTGGGCAAGGTCAAGAGATCAGAATGGTTTTTGTCTTAGCCTCTCTGTGAGTCTAGCCTGAGGAAGGCAGTCAGAGATAGGATCCCTGTACCTCCCTTACTTCCCAGGTGTGTGACCTAGGGCAAGTCACTTACTCTGTGGGCTAAAGCAACTCCATTTGTAAGAGGATAATAATACCTTTGTATCTGAAGTCAGGGAACAGGGCCAGATGGAGTCCCTGATGCTTCAGTCAGAGGGCCTGGGTTCTAATCCTATCTATGACACTATCTGCATGACCTTAGATAAGTAATTTACCCTCCCTGGACCTCAGCATACCCATCTGTAAAATTAGGGGATTGAGCTAGATGACCCGGCCCTCCTGGTTCCAGATTTGGATCCCAGGACCTCTGGGAGACTCTTTCCAGTTCTCAGGCCTAGGAACCTACGAAGCCTACGTTTCTATAAAAGTGGGGGGTGGTTATGAAGGAAAAAGGGGGAGGCCAAGGGAAAGGAGACCAGGCAGCGTCAGTGATCTATTCCAGGGGCTTGGAGCTGGGACAGCCTTCTTTGAATTAGTAACCAGAGCCACATTCTTTCTAGACAGCAAGGGAGAAATGTTGGCAGGGACTGTGGGGCCTGGGCTCAGGGGTTGCTGGGCTCCCTGTCAGTGACTGGGAGGCTATTGTCAGAAAGAGGGACAATTTTCAGAACCAAGGAGTTCAAGGAGGACCTAGTGTTAGACGGAGATGATCTACAGGGAGAAAAAGGATAATATAGAAAGGAAAAGGGAAGGGTTTTTTTTCCCTTTCCAGGCACTGTTTCCAAGCTTTTATTAATTCTAGAAATTTTTCAATTTAAAACTAAACAAAACCCTGCAGTGACATTTAATGGTGCCATGTTATTTGCCAACCACTGGAAACCATCCAGCTTTACTCCAGCCCTCCAAGCCCTGGAGGCTTTTCAATGGAGTGGCTCAGGAGATCTGTAAATGTCACTGCAAAAGCCCTGATTCTGGGGGCCTGAGAACAGGCCCAACTCCCAGGATATGTAGTGCAAATAAAATCTCCAAACTGAGCTGATTCTCAGAACCAAGTATTTGTATGGGAACCTGCTATGAATGAGTGTGAGTGTGAGTGTGTATGTATACACACATTATACATGTATATATACCTACATACATATATGTATACATGTACATCTATATATATGTGTGTGTGTATACATATATACACATCTACATATATACATACATGCAGATAGAAAGATAGAGATGCATAGTTAGTAAACATTTATTATGTGCCAGGCACTGTGCTAAGTGCCAAATATACAAATATGAAAAAAATAGTTTCCGCCTTCAAAGGACTTACACTCTAATGGGGAAAGAAAGGTCACAAAAGGAAGCAGAAAGGGGTGGGGAGAAGCCACTAGACCCTTTGTTGTTCTCACTGGTGATGGTGGCGGTCCTTCATTCTCTAAGAGGACCAATGACGTCATGAGAGCGATGTCTTGACTTGAGGTTACCGGGCAAGGGGTTGCTCAAAGTAGTCTTCCTTTGGGAGGGGGAGTCTATTCTCTTCCATTTCACTTTTGGATAGCAATCATTCTCTGGCTGAGCCCAGTGCCTGAAATATATCCCTGTCACCCCTTCCTCTGATAATAATCCCTAGCTTCCATCAAAGCTTTGCTCACTAGCCACATCCTACAAGGAGCATTTCCTGACATCCTCCCCACCACACACACACACACACACACACACACACACACACACACACACACACACACACA